CCCAAAAATGTTAAAACACCCACTCACCCCATCTCACATGGATGTGCCAGGTCTTTTACCGACCTGGCACAGCAGCTCGGTCCATTTTTAAATTACATGTCTACTGTTGTAAAATGTAAATTCTCATTTTAATGGCAATTAAAAATAGGTTAATTTAATGAAAACGAAATTAAACACACAAATATACCACCGATTCGAAGTGGTAGATGTAAAAAAAAAAAATTCTTATTCAACGTTTGATCAATTTTTGAGATTTTAAGATTAAAGCAGATGAAAATAAGAGAGTTTTTATTTGTATTGAAATAAATAGATAAGAAAAGTTAGCTGATTTTGAAATTTTAATTAAGAAGTGTTTGGTTATGTTAACTAAAAAGGTAATATTATCTTTTAGATAAAACAATATTTTGTAATTGTATTGTTTATTTAAAGACATCTTTATTTTTTACCGTCAAAAAAATCAATGTAAAAATATGTAATTGTTGAAAATTTAAAGTGAAAAAGTACCGTTCACATCTTAGTTAAATTGTCACGTTATGGAGAGAAAGTCTGCGGACTGTGTGTTCAGAATTCGTCAGCCGATCCTAACCTTTAATCTGCCGCCCTCCCGTGACTCACTGTGATACTCTTAGTCTCTGTCCTTCAGTTATCCCACCCTCTCCATTTTTATGCTATTCAGGCTTCTCTCTATTCCCTTTAGTTCTTATATTTCCATCCTGAGATATTTCACATAATTTTCTGTGCGTATCTTGACATTTGTGCACTTCAATTGAATATGCTCTGCCTTTTTTTTTACCGCTCAAAGTACATGGATAGCTTATTCTTGGCATATGAATCTTGTTTTTTTCTGGGATTTCTGTGATATCTTTCCATCGAAGAAAAGACACTTCTTTCTTTAATGTTTCGATATTTTCAAGGTTGTTTTTTAGGCCCCTTTGGTGTCTGAAGTATCACTGATTCTTCTTTTCTTTTCTGGGTTTTTTAACGGGTTTTCCCTTCTGGTAGTCCTAATAATTTTATATTCACAGTGCCAAGTTTTTTGAGTTTTTTTCCAATTTTTTTATTAGTCATCAATTTTGGTTCATACTGAATTTCTAGTACTTTTCAGGGTTTATGGTTCTTCTTTCTTCTCAGACCTACGATCTCCTGTCCATTTGTTTGCGCTCTGGTTTGGCCTTTTCGTTACCACTTAGGGTTAAATTTGCAGGCCCCAAATCAGTTGCTTCTGCAGTTTTTAAGTCATTTTTGCAAATTGTTCGTTTCTTGTTCTAGTTGGAATTTGAAGTCATTCTTGCAGGCTTTGTTTTAAGGTATTTATTTACAAATGTCTTCTTGTTTAAGTGGAGGTGGAAGAGCAATTGGATTAGACCTTGAGATTATTAAATCACCATCCTCTTCATGGATTTCAAATTCATCTTCTCCATCTTCAACTTTAACTGAATCAAGCAATTCCCCTATTGCCATCTCGACTCGAAAACCTCGAAAAAGGCCTAGCCAGACTTACAATGAAGCTGCTGCCATTCTTTCTGCAGCCTATCCCAAGATTTTCTCCACTAAACACCTTACAAAGCCTTATAAATTCACAAAACCGCACAATAATTGTAACAATCCTTTTCCATGTGAGCCGTCCGACTTGTTTATGCCTTTTCCCGTGGTCGAAAACTCGGGATTCTTGTTGCATCCACCGATACTAGAGAAACCCGATTTTCCAATTGAGCCGAAAGGGGGGATACGTGCATTTGATAAACGGTGCCAGAGTCCTGGGGAAATCAATTCGGGAGTGGATTCTTTGGAGATTCATGATGACTATCAAGAAGATTTTGATGCAGGATCCATACTAGATGCGGGAATTGAAGAGGGAATTGACAGTATCATGGGGAAGTTGAGTACTGGAAATGACTCGGTCAATGATTCAAATGATAGGCAAGTGAATTCTTGGTGTTATGGTTATCCAATAGGCCTAGGATTTGGAGGAACATTTGGCTTTGGAATGAGAAGGGAAGTGAGGGCAATGAAAAATGTCGATGATGGGAATTGTTGGAGGTTCCCTAGTGTCAATGTGCAAGACATCACACCAAAAATCGGTAAAATCCCGGCTGAGAAGAAGAAAAAGAAGGTTGAAAAGACGGTTGAACCTAAGAATTTAGTATTAGCCAAGTTGAAGTCAAGTTCCATTAAAGCAAACAAGGTGAATTCAGCTAGCAAATCACCTACAGAGGAGGCTATACTGCCTAAACCGAATGCAGGGTTGTCACTAAAATTAAATTATGATGAGGTTTTGAAAGTGTGGTCCAATAAGGGCTCACCGTTTTCCGGCGAAACTCTAACGGGTGCTGAAGCCACCGGAACTGATGTTCAAGTATGTTTCTCTTCTCGTCCCACGACGATTGCGAACCTTGATGATGTCTCCCATGTTCATGTTGAAACGGAAGGTGGTACGGGTAAGAAAAATTCAAAAAGGGAATTTGTACCTAGTATCTGTCACTTGGCTAAAAAATAGAGGACCTTTTTAGTACTTGTAGGGCATGGCACGTGCTAATCATGTTTCATATGTGGTTGTTTTTTTATATTTTCTCTTTCTTATAATAATTAACGTCACTTTTAGTTGGAATTATGTTTCAATTAAAAATGTGAGCTTGGTCAACAAGTGAACAATCTTTCTAGCAATAATGTTTTTGTTCGTTGGCTTGGTACGGCAACATTCAATGGTTGGTGAACCATGCTTGGTGTACAGGGCTTTTTTACCAGGGATTTTAAAGATACGCATTTGATTTATTCTAATTGACAGTCGAAAAAAAAGGAGAAAAAATTGCTAATACAAGACTATCATTTCAGCACTGTGAACTGTCCGCTGAGAATTTACCCTGTACAAGGGGCAAAATCCATGCAATAACTCTATTTGTACATAAGAGTTTGATAATCTGTGTTAACAACCTCTTACATACGTGTGGGCTCCGTATGTTTAACAAATTAAAAAAAAAAAGTGGACCCCTCCATTGTGAGTGTATGTCAACTTATGTGTCAACATTTGGTTGTACAAATAGCATTGCTCAAATCCATGGTTGCCATGCCCTAATACTTTTTATTAGAGAGTTATAAAAGAAAAAAAACACAAAAAGATTCGATTTGTACATTCTTTTTTATTAAATAAAGATGTAATCAATAACTTATTTGTAAGAGTAATGCTATTAATAGTGATGACTATCGGTAGTCGTCCTATGTAGCATACATGACAGTTTGTTGTTTGATACATTAATATGATAATTTTTTTTATTACTTTATACATCAAATAATAAATTATCATATATATGCCACGTAAAGCGACTGCCGATAGTTTTCACTATGAATAGCATTTTTCCATTTGTAAATATGTTGTTCTATATTCATTTATACTTTTTTAGTATGACACGTCCTATTTTGTCTTGACATTTTTGTATGATATCGAATCTTTTGTTAATAATTCTAAATAATGAATAATATATTGGGAAGTTGTACTTATGTTTGGACTTTTGAGCTGCCTAGCATTCAATAATTGCTGATTGTGTTACTTTTGGTGTAGACAAGATTGGCACAAATAGACTTAATTGGTGAAGACGCTAGCGTGCTGCGCTACAAAGAGAAGAGGCGTAAGCACCTTTTCTCTAAGAAGATTAGATATCAAGTTAGAAAAATAAATGTTGATCCATGGCCAAGAATGAAGGTACATTCTACTCCTTTTTCATTTGTCGATTTTAATATTTCGCCTTTTTATCCCAATCCAAATGATTGAATTGAAAAATTACTGCATAGTTCTCCATAATAACTTATTTTTCACATTTTTATCTAATTTGTGTGATATGTAACGATGTTGCATGATATGTAACGATGTTGCAGGAACAATTTGTTAGAAGCCCCAATTCCCTGGAAAGCGAGCAAGAATCGTGAAATGAAAGTAATTCTAAATTTATCTTTTTTTTCATTATCAACTTTTGAAATACGTATACCAGTTAAAGGAGAACGAAAAACAGAAGTTAGAAAATATTGTATTTTGTCACTCATCTCGCAGTCACACATTTATGATATTGAAATGCATCATTGATCATACTATTTATATGAATAAGTTACTTATTTTGAAGTGAAATGTAATTTATTGTCGAATACGTAACTCTATTTTAGAAAAAAAAGGATATATGTTGTAAAATGTTCTTTTGAAAAATAAGAAGAGAATATTCCAGTGGGGTCATAATCTTTGAAAATTGACATTAGGGTCCCACACTTTGCAATGTGTACAACCGTCACCCTTTTATGAGTAAAAGAGGAACTGGTACATAAAATGATGCTATAGTGGTGCGTTCACGTGCGCAATGTACGATGTGTGCGACCGCTAGAACACAACAACATAGACTTAAATCTAAATATTTTAAAACTCATTTTCAATCATATCTTATAAAAAAGAAACTATTATTTATCAATCATGATATGAAATATCGATAATGTGATAGCTAATTGTCTCTCAAATTTATCACTCCCCATCTCTCTCGTAAAAATTGAACTACTCAATTCCGTTGTTCCACATAGATTACCATATCACCGATAATCTATCATTATAATGATAAATAGCATTATTCTCTATAAAATCTACAATTTTTATCCATTTTTTTAACATATATTTCATCAATTTTTATCCCAATCTATTGAAAATATATTTTTTAACCAAACTAGATTGGGGCTTAGTATAGAACAAGGATTACAAAAACTCACCATGCACATTTGCTCGACGCCACGTGCTTAGAATGCATGGTATTGTACTTAATCTTTGTAAGTTAGATATAAATATTTACAGTAATGGTAAAACTCGAAGATATCAAATACTATCTCTATGCATAACAAAAAGGATTTCTGATTCTCTAATTGCAGAGAAACAGAAGCACAATTCAGTAAAAGAGGTTCAAAAACATCCCTTAAAAGAGAAAAAAGATGCATCAACTTTTCTCCCTTACCTCTGCTACAGGTACGTAGACGATGCATGGTTCACTTAAGGTGGTGGCATCGACTTTATTGAGTCTCTGATTCGGAAGTCCTCGTAAAACTTGCTGGAGATTTTCTACCTTACTCTTAATTTCACAAAGCCGCTTCATCTCAGCTTCTGCCGCCAGAATACGACTCCTGCTCATCCGATTTGACTTCTTAGCTTCCTTGGCCTTTTCTCTAAGAAGTTTCAGGCTCACATCATCACCAAAATCCACAGCCACCTGGTAGTTGAAAATAGATTGAGGGATCTCGGCGCAATTTAATCATATACACAAATGGTGTTCAGATGTAAATTTTAACACATCAAACTTCGACCTTCAACCTCTTGTTAGAATTAACAGACTGTTTAAATAAATTCACCGTGATGGATGAAATTGAATTTTTATCAGAAGTTTTGAACCATGGATATCACTGATATAGCTATTTAGATCTAAAACAGAAATAATGCATTTCACCTCGGTGCAACTTTATACACCAATGACATAGCCATTTAGATGTAAAGTATTTTGCTGCAGCTCTATTGCTATTTTTCTCAGAATGGTACCATTTCAAGTTTTCAACAGAGTAGCCAATTTGGTAGCCAACCTCGTCCAACGTTTGAATTCAATTTCAACCACAATAATCTCAGATTTCCCAATCAAATTCACAATTTCTTGATACCCTTAATCTTCTCTAAACATTAAGCCTTCTCATCAGAAAACAGTGCATTAATTCACATTTCATCAGAAATCAGTGCATTAATTCACATTTTCTCTGACCTTACTAAAGGAACTTAATAAAATTGCATGTTAAGTAGAATTTCAAATGGGAAGTTTAGCCCAACAATACCTTGTTGGTAGCTGGCTTCTGTAGCATTGTTTTCCTCCTCTGTTTTCCCTTCAAAGGATTGGTCAGCAAAATGAGTTTCTTACCTCTACGAGCCATTTTTGAACTCTTAGGTGTCTGCGGTAATGTGCTATCCTTCGATGCCATTTGATCAGCGTGTTTACTAGTTCCAGTTTCTGATGAAGATTCCTCTTGAATACCAGGACTACCATCATGAGATGATTTTACATTTCCCACCTGTTAGTTTTCATGAAAGGGGAATTCAACTTCAAATTCGAAAATTTGGAGACTATAAATAGAGAAACCATTAGATTTGAGCCCAGTAAATTACAAGGGGATGCAGATATAAGTAGAAAAAACCATTCTGCTAAAGAAAGTAAAGAATCAGAAGACAAAAACAGCTATTCTTGGGTTAATCTTATAATTACTATAAATTCGAAATTATGAGCCTCACTAATATCATGTATCCACAACTTTAAAGAAGATAAAGAGAAACAGAAAGAAACTAAAAGCCTCATGATGGAGATCAAGATAAGATAAAGAGAATTTTGGATAAGAATTGAATCCCCTTTTCTTAATCTTCGATTGTTCGCTATCAAATTATACGCTCCCGTGTCACCTCACTTATATGATGTAGCCACAATTTGAAGAAGGATAATGTGAAGAAAAATAATCTTTTTATCATGTCTCTTTAAGCAACTTAAGGAATTTATGTAATGCTTGCTAAGAGTCAAACTGTTGAATGAGACAAGAATCAAGGACAGGTGGAGCAGCAAATTAAACTTCTTGGAAATTTAAACTACTTGCCTTTCTGGCTTTAAGAGCTAGGTAGCGTGCGTTCTTGAACCATTTGTTGACCTACAAATATAATAATAAACAAGTCAACTAAACAAGTGGAACAATCAAACAGAATGTACTGCAATTAGTATTTTTATTACTATTTATGATTTTTGTGATCGATTAGTATCTCTTTTCTGTTTATTGTTTGGATGTACGCATATCAAACGGCCATCCTTCCTACCTTATCTTGGTTCCCCGTCCATTATCCTAAAGTCTTGTAGTGTCTTAAATGATACGACACCTTTCAGAGCAAATCCATTCAATGCTGCAGCGATATCACTCCAAAACCACATTTCACAAGGGTCATAACAGTTACGGATAGAACTTTCCAGTATTTTATTAGAATCCTGATGAAACTTATAATTTTCACCAACTACAACAACTTGCAGCAGTTTTTTTCCCCAACGACCCACTTAAAAATTTGAAAAGGCAATGAATTTGGGATTCCCGTCTATCCTGACATCCTGTTTGTTCAATTTCTTTGATTCAGCTATTCTTACAGTTTTACCTTATCAAATTCTATACCCAGCTGTTTGGAAAGATTCTCTCTTACTGCTCTGGCTGGAAGTTCATTCTCAGCAAAAACATGTCGAAGCTTCTGCAAAAGCAAAACAAAAAATGGAGGATTGGCACATCATATGTATAATTACTTGTCATTTTTCTAGGTATTGAAAAGATTTATGAAAAATAATCTATAGTACCTCAATTGCATTAAGTGGAAGTCTGAAAATTGGTCTTTTCATCTTCCCACCTGAGAGTTTTTCCTTGACTTCTTTAAGTTTTTCTTTTGAACAGTTCTTCTCCATCTCAGATAGAGTCACAAGGATGCCACCTGCATCAGTCTCCTTTCCTTTCCTTTTTCTTTTTGTAGGACCCCAGTCTTCATCTTCACTGAATTGTTCGTCTTCAGCAGCATTCTTTCCAAACATTTCCTATGAATCGGAGAACCAATCATATGAATTTGCATTCAAGAAAAAACTGAGCCACCAACAACGCCGTCCAGTATTGGCATATTCTATAGCTTTGCTCTCATTCAAGTACTCATCATTGGGAAAAGAATACATCATAAAATTCCAATGAAAATAATAATAATAATAATAATACTATAATTTCAAAGCGATCCAAAGAAAATTGCCACCTCAACTTTCTTTTCCTTTAATAAATTCCAGAAAGATTCAATGAATTGAAAAGGTCCCTTAATTTAGGTGCCCATAATTTATTGAGTCATTGACCATATATACATGAGACCACTTAGCTCCTATTAATTACCACTGTAAAAAGAGAGGATTTTAAATAAATTTAGTCTACTCACATCATGCAATTTTAAATAGTCGACAGTTGATCGCTGTCTGCGACCACATAAAGCTTCACCATCGGTAATCTCATCAGAATCTACCCCATTTAACTCCGAATAAAACTCTTGACATTCTTTTCTCCTCTGTTCATTTCCTACCGACAAAGAAAGAGGTTCATCCTCAAGAGACCCTAAAAAGCTGGAACTGTACTCAGAGCCTTCAGATTCAGAGTTAGCCAGGCTATCACTGCAACTAGGTTCAATTATTTCTGGATCATAATCAACATCTTCGGAGTCGTCAGACGGCCATTCTTGTTCTGGGCATGACATGGAATCTTTACCATCAGGTAATATAGCTTCTTCCTTGAAAACATCCTGTTACAATCCAATCTAGGCCTATTTAATGGAGGGAACCACATTAAAAAATAACAATAGGATTCAAAATAATCGACCTGCCAATTAATATCCATGGAAAAATGGGTCCCAAGGTGAGCATTTGTAGCTTCTAATATTTCCATCTTACTCTTACAAAATTTGCAAAACCAGCCTTCATCTCCTGGAGGAACTGGGAAACCATTAACTTCATTACTTGAAGTTTTAAAGAACGTGAAATAATTTAACACAATTCATATACCACACTAGAATAAGTAAAGAAAAACAATAAAGTTATAGCAAACTCACTATTTTCTGTTGACAGCGGAGGATCAAGACATTTTTGGTGAAAAGCACGGTTACATGTGCCATCACAAAGTATAATGTCGTTATCGGGGAGAGCTTCACGCATCTTACATTTGGCACAGACTATCTGAATGCAAAACAAGAACATCATGAACTCCCTAGTCTAGTTGACAATGGTGGTAGTGTCACTATGTAGTATTGGAATTATTCATGATCCAGAAAACACAAGCAAACTCGCTGAGTACAAAATTGAGATTATTGAGAAAGAGAATGGTAATATAATTATAAATATGTGTAACATCGTCCTATTTAGTATGTATAACACTTAACAATAACATGCTTTGAGAATTCAATGTGCTAGAATTACAGCTAATGAGATGCTTGATGAATACCAAAGAAGAATTAAGAAAAAAAGGATTGACATAAGCTTACATGTTCATGATGAACAGATCCATCTGGTGCAACTGCCGATTCATCAATGCGTCCTACAGAACTAAGCAAATCCAGTTGGCGAATAGCTTCACGTATTCCAAGTTTGCAATTCAATATTTGCTTCTTAGCTCTTTGTAGTTCCTTTTCCGGTTTAATCTTTTCTCGACTGGGTAAAAGAAAACATGTTTATGTAAAGGAAAACAGTTTTTACAGACTCATGCCATTGAATTTATATAAGATAAAAGGCTTTGTTTCATATGCCCCTGTTTGGTACAAATTAAAATCCAAATTTTAATATAGGTCAAATTCAACAACTAATTTTAACTACACATTTTATGGGACCCACAACTTTTTAACCACACATTTCACCAATTTTTATCAAAATCTACTAAAAATCTGATTTTAATCCACACCAAACAAGGGCCTATATTAAATATTTGAGTTGGTTATATATATAACTCTGGAGGGACCAATAAAAGCAACCAAGGGTAGCCCCAATTAAAATTGACTAACATAAATAGCTTTAGATAACACTTCGTATCCAAGTGCAATAAATTCAGATGCATATTTATTACAAATTAGTTTAGTTTCCTTAAGAAAACATGCTTTATTTCTTTTTCTAGCATTAATACTTAATATACATGAAAAATCACAATGAGATATAAAAGAAACTAGAATCTGCAAGTAGGATTTTAAGAAAGCTAATAGGGTCAAGAATTTATACCTCTGACCCTTCCAACCTTCCGCAGAATAAGCATCAATAAGATTCTGCTCCAGATTCAGTTTTATCAACAGGTACCTCGTCCTCCTTTGCAATCGCAAAGCTTCATCAAGCTCCACATTATCTTTTCTCTTCTTTCTCCTTCTCTTTCTCTTTAAATTTTGCAACGTTATATCTCCATCATCCTGTTTTTCACTGTCCTCTGCACTAATGATCTGAAGTTTATCATTTACACCACTCAACAAGGGTTGCTTCTTGCAGGTTTTGGTTTTATGCACAATGGCTTTATTCACTACCTTCTTCTTCAAAGCGGGAATCCCCTTACTTACACTTAACCGATTAGTAAGTTTTTTCTTCGATAATGATGAATGAATCCTGTTTTTTTGTTTTAATTTTGGTTTCTTGTTTTGTAAAATTTTTGCCTCATCTTCCACATGCAATTTTTTCTTGTGAGTTTGTTCCTTGGCTGCTCCAGGCATATCGTGAATATGGAATTAAACATTCATCAAACTGAAAAGTCATAATAGGCAAAGGAAAAAATAAGCATCAAGAACTAAAAAAGGAACAAAATTTACTCTACATACCCCAAAATTTCACTAACAAAAAGTATTAGTAAACTTTGCCAAAAACCCCAATTTAAGGATCACGATCACTCAAAATCCCGACATATCAAGCAAGTAATAAATTATTACATTCGTAAACATACAGTTAAGCCTACCAAATTCAACACATTACACAAAATAAACAACCTTCGATCTTATAACAGAAATGAAAATATATACGTAGAACGATTGGGAAATCGAGAAAAACCCAAATGAAAAGCTACCAGGATTTTACAAGAAATCATGCCAAAGACAGTAAATTCGCATAATAATAAAAAGGGTGTAAAAATAAAAATAGATGGGTCACCTGAAAAAGGAAAAACGAGAATGAAAGATCTGCAGAACCCAATGGAACTTCATCTAACAACCAATGGCGTCGATTTTATATGATTATATGATGATGATTTCAATTTGACTGAGACTGACGGAATTACGATTAAACAAGAACTGTGACGATTGAACAAGAACTGTGAGAGTAGTAGCGAATTCAAAATTGAATTCTATGGTGTTTTCTTGGATTCTGGCAAGCAGAAAATAATGCCTCCGCCGCTGCTTCTCATTCACGGCCAGCAAACGGCACCTCTGTGTGTTTTGAGGCGTGTTGACAGAGCACAATTATTACTGCGTTGCTTTGCTTACCGAGAGAAAATGTGTTTGAAGTCATAATTATTTTCCTTTTCCTTTTTTTATTAATTCTCCTCCCACTAAAAAAGTTGATTAAAATCAAAAACAACAAATAATTTACAATTTTTCAATATTCCATCAACTTTTATCAAAATTTATAAAATTTGATTTTTATCCAAACCAAACATTGCTAAATTTTGATGTGAATAGTTTCTTAAATTTAATTTTACTTGATTGATTTTTAATATCTACCACCCCAATACAAGGAATCAAGGATGGCAACTTATCAAGGAGGTGGAAATTAAAATATTTCAAGACAAGACGGGTAGAGGTCGCTATAGAATAGAGTATTTTGTCATTCCTACCCAACTTAATATTATATTTGAATGTTCGAAGAAATTAGTAAAACATAAAAATCTATCTTTGATGAGTAGAAATGTGGAGAGAGAGTCGATGTTCTTATTAATCTACATTTAAGATTCATCTTGTATCTTGGATACTAATATGACCTGAATCATTTATGGCAAGGAAACGTTTGATTTAGAGGGGAGAAAGAGATAAAAATGGGAACATTTGAATCTTCGATCTTCAAAAAAGAGATAAGCAAAGCTCCATAGTAGCTGGAAGGACGAGGGACAGGTCTAATCTCGATGCAGAAATTATTGAAATTTGTTTTCTTTAACACGTAACGTATGAAAATTTAAAACCAGAAGAATAAACAAAAGGGTATCTAGTAAAAATAAATTCAATTGAATTACTAGATAAATAACTTTGCCAAAACTTCAAAGCTAAATGAATTTGAATAATGCTATTTATAAATAGCATTACTCAATGAATATATATGAAGTAAGAATTAGTAGGCGTGTCCTCAACTCAGAATTTAATGATTTTTTTTTTTAATATTTATGATAGAATTTCACATTATAGAAAATTTATAATTTTATCATTTAAAATAACTACTACATCTAAATAAACAAACAAATAAATATCATAAAATTAAAAATCAGTTCAATCTAAAAATAAAAATAGTTTTCATTATACTGTCGAGTATATTACATACAAGTAGTATGCACTAAAATTTTTATGATTACAAATATTTTATTTTTGATTATAGTTTTAAAACCACAATTAACTAATTATTTTTTTTGTTCTTAACTGTTCATAATAAAATTTTGATCCCAAATTCAATAAAAACGAGAATCCGATTCTACTTATTTTTCTCCCATAAGAATGAGAATTTGAAAGTGAAATATTTTATTTATATTTATTATTTATGTATGTACATATTTCGGTATTTCCATAATTGTCAGACTCGACCCGAATACAGACCCGGACAATGCAGCGGGTCAATGGGTTAGTGGTACCCGGTAATTCAAACGGTGGGTCATTGTATAAAAATCTAAAAAATATATATAAAGTTATAAATTTTTTTTAGGGGCAAAATTAAAATTTTTAATTTATTTTTCACTAATTATTTAGGTCTATAAAATAAAGTAAAATGTTTGACCAAAGTTTTTTAAAAGAATATTTTTATAAAAGTTATAAGTGATTCATTAGATAGACATAAGTTATTGTACACAAGTAATACTAAAGTGATTTATGTTCAAGTGGTGTGGAACCCATTATTTTTCTTAGAGGTCCAATGTTCAATTCCCTTGAACCCAAAAATTTCGATTAGGGAAGCATTCAATGGACAAAGGTGTCACATGTTGTCTATAATGTGTTTTATACCGCAAGTGTACGGTGTCAAATTTTGTAATATAGTAATAGAGTAAAATTGTCAAACTCACAAGGATTGTAATTTAATTCCTACTAAGTACTATAATTATTTCAACTTTTACTCTATCTTGAAAATCGAATCTAGAGTCAATATTTATATACTAAATTAACGTGAATATGTGATAATTCAAGTAAAATAAGGCAAATTATAGGAGAGTTATCAATGTGAGAAGACCTAGAGATTGATTTCACCTCACTATCAACAATTATTTTCAACTACTATAGTTACTTCTATCAATTTTTCCTGAATTTATAAACAAGAACTTTAGATTAATTATATTCCCTCTCTCGAGTGCTGAATAAAACCTATTTCTATATTTTAATTCCAATAGCTCTATTCTAAATTAAAACTATAGAAATTATCACACGCAAGATTCTTAAATGGTATAAATCTCAAAGATTTTATATTTTCTCTCGAAACCTACAAAATTTGGGTTATGTTATTCTTATATCACACCCAAATCTCCATCTTTCGAGTATCGAAATTTAAGGCATCAAATCATTCAATTATTGTTCAAGTAATTGAAAGCATTGCGTAAGAATCAATACAAATAAATTAACGGGAAAAATCAAACGAAATAACTATATTAGAATCCAAATATGTCTCAATTTTAGTTAAATCAAATCCTAGATAATAAAATTAGTTCATGAATACAAGAAAAAACATATTAAAATTTGAACTAAAGAACATGGAGAAGAAAAGAATAAGAAAAACTGTTTGACCGCTTGAATTCTTCTTCAAATTGTTGTCGTTTTTGCTCTCAATGATTCCTCTTCTTTCTTGCCTCCTAAGCAGTCTTCCTCTTTCTAACTAAGTCTTCAAGTTTGTATTTATAGTCTCTTAAAATATCAAGACGGATTGGAGTTGGACTGGGCCGAAAAATTTACAAAAATCACGCATTTTTCATTCCCAGGTGGCAGCGCCGCAGCTCCAGCAGTTTTGCCTTTTTTTTCTTTGGCTGGGCACCGCGGCGCCCAGATTTTTGCTAATTTTGGGAAATTTCTTGGGCGTTGTGGCGACCGTTAATTCCTTCATTGATTTGCTTCCCTTTTTTTTTTGCCTCTTTTCCATTTCATTTTTCTTCTTCTTTCACCTCATCTTCAAGCCCACTTCTATGATCAACTTCACTCCATCCCAAGCTCCATAATACGCAATTTTCTCCAAATTACCTAAACTACAAAACAACATGAACAAATACATCAAAACGCTCAAAAGTGCTCATGAAAGTCGAAAACTATGTTTTAAAGGTATTAGTTCAATGAGTGAATTTCACTCATCAAACACCCCTAAATTTAATTCTTTGCTTGTCCTCGAGCAAATACAAAACAACACACAAATAAAACTCATGAACGCACTAATAAAACACACTACCAAAAGATTCAAATACATATTTAGCTAGATAGCTTGTTTTTATGGCTCAACATTGAAGATGTGATATCGAATTCATGAACTACTTTAAAGTTATAGTGCAGAAGCCAAATTCTTACCTTTCCAATGCAAAATGGGTGTAGGTGAAGAATAAAATACAGTGTTGAGCAGTTATAAGTCAATTCAATTCCCGACCTTAAGAGTCAATTATTTCATTTCTCCGCTCATGAGATTCACACACCTCCAAACTTTATTTCTTTCACTCTTTTCTCGAGGGCATAATCTAAGATTGATTTACAAATTACTACTACTTACCCTCTCTTGTCTGGGTAGATGTTACTGATTGAAGTTCACATATCAACAAATGAGGATTCTCCTTATTTTTGACTGCATCAACCTCTAAAAATCAATTAAGTTACTAACCTATTACTAAAGGTATAATCCTCTAAAACAAGTGTTTGGGGCTTAATCAAGACACGTATTGCGTCTTCTATTTCATGCACCTGACTTTTCATATATATATATATATGAATCTTATGTACGTATGTCTCTCCATTAAGCTTTCTAAATGAACCATGTAGTGAGTTTTATGCCGATAACTCCCAAATCAGATTACTTTAGGGTAATATATTTTAAACCCTTGCAGGTTTAATCACTCGATCATAGAGGCTATGAAGAGACGTTTTACAATGGGATTATTAAGTTGTCCTCGTTGGAATCTTTTAAGTTTGCTTCTCAACAGTTTCTTTTCTTTTTTTTTATCCAGTGATTAGTGCAATATCCCTTATTCTCGAAAATCGACCCCCAACTTAAGGTTTTCACCTAATTTTCATCGTATTGGTTTTAGATAATCCACACAAAATTTAGCATACATGTAATTCGCATTTATCTCCAAGATTCCGTACAACAGTTCAACCACCCAAATATCCTAAATTTGGTTTAAGGATATGGTGATGTTTAGAGGTTGTCAGTTTCTAGGGTTGCTAATTCAACCTCTATCATTTATGAATCAAATTATTCTTGTTCAACGCCTATTCAATTCACGTGCATTTATGTTGCAATTTTCTGCAAAGGTAAGTAAGACTTCCACTCAAACACATAACTTATTCATAATTCACAACTAAGTCATGTTTCCAAATATTTGCATCATTGCTAACAATAGTATCCAACCCACACAAGCATACGCATTTTTATTTTTTTATTATATATATATATATAATACACAAGTTACACTTAGAAAAATAAACAAAACACACAAAAGCAATTAAACCATTAGACGACAATTATGTTAAAGTATCACCCCCCAAAATTAAAGAACACATTGTCCCCAATGTAAAAAGGAAACAAAACAAGGGAGAGATACCTCAGTGAAAACATCAAATGTCTTCGTCGCCATCTAGTGGAGCTGGATTTTAGGAACGAGATGGAAACAACGGTGGTGGAAGGAATGTAAGATCGGGGTGTGCAGAGGCCATGACCGCAATGCAAGCATTCTGATAATGAAACGGGTCATAAATGGAGGTCTCAATTGATCCATTCGCACTTGCATTCCTTCTTGCCATCGAGTCATATGCAAGTCCATTGTCTC